GGGGTGGGGATGAGAGAAGAGTGAGGAGTGTGCCGGGATTACGGAATCCCAAACTGTACAACAAGGTCCTCCTTGGCGTCCACGCGGATCTGGGAAAGTGCACTGAAGGCGTACGCCGCGATCTTTGAAACCTGCAAAGATAACAAAAACATTATAATACATGTAATAGAATCGGGAACACAATCCCCCCCCCCTTGCGGCCCCGGCCCTCTTACCTGCTGGATATCTGCATAAGGAACGGGGTCGCTGGCGAGTATTTGGTGTGGCTGGGCAGTGAGCGAGGGCAGAGGGGGAACCTTCTTCCAGTGCGTTAGGTTACTACTGAGCTTCGCTAGACGTGTGCTGCAGAGACAGAGAAGACACGCATGACTACAGACTGAACAGTAACCATGGAGACACCGCAACACATCCAACACTACTGGTGAGGCCCACACCAAGCCCCTCCTTGTGCCACTGCCTCACCTCCTACAGATTACTAGTACCAAGCCCCTCCCTTCCTGTGCCATTGCCCAGCCTCCTTCAATTACTGGTAAAGCCCACACCAAGCCCCTCCTTGTGCCACTACCCCGCCTCCTACAGACTACTGGTAAGGACCACGCCAAGCCCCTCCTTGTGCCACTGCCCCACCTCCTAGACTACTGGTAAGGACCACGCCAAGCCCCTCCTTGTGCCACTGCCCCGCCTTCTACAGACTGCCCGTAAGGCCCACATCAAACCCCTCCTTTTTAAAGATTACCGATAGCAAGCCCCTCCCTTCCTGTGCCACTGCCCCGCCTTCTACAGACTGCCGGTAAGGCCCACACCAGGCCCCTCCTTGTGCCACTGCCCCGCCTCCTTCAGATTACTTGCTAGGTCCACACAAAGCACCTCCTTCCTTTATCTGTCTCGCCCACCAATGACTACAATAGGTGACATTAGGCCGGGGGTCTCTCTTGCTCAGCCGCTGGCGACGCTACATGAATCCTCTACACTGCGAGCACAATTATCAGGCTAGCGAGTATTCTGACCAAATCACCATTTTTATGCATATTGTCCAATTCCGAGCGGTATAAACTTGAAGGCTTATTGGATGTCAGCCTATCAGGTGACATGTATTTGTGTAATGAGGGGGTGTGGCCTTAGTAGATCATTGCCCAATATCAAGGTGCGTAGAATAATTCGGCAGCTTCTTTTCCTCGGGAGGCAAAATGGGCCAAAAAAAAAGAGATTTAAGGCCCCATTCACACAGGGATCGGCCGGCACGTACAGCTCCGTGCACGGCCGTACCAAGCAGCTCCCGGGAAGGACAGGTGCTGCGTGTGATTAGAACGCAGCCCCCCCCGTCCTTCTCTATGGGGCTACGCGGCCGTACGCCCCCCTACGCTCACCTCATTTGCAGGTCCGTGGGGGTGCGGGTGAGCGTGTTCATACGCCGCCGGAATGGAACATGTATGCGTCCTGGCCAGAAAACCCGCACCCCTACGGACCTGTGGTCCACAGATCACACAAGAGGAGGAGGAGGATTATGTCAGCCGTGGGGGCATTGAAGGTGAGGATGACAAAAGGCATTCTTCAAGTCACCAGAAACCCAAGGATTAGTATGTGGCTGGGAGCAGGTAGTGCACGATAGTGTCATCCTCAGTGACCCTGAAGACTTAGAATCTAATGCCTCCTCCAACTTATGCTGCATGGGCTCCCTTATCTTGCAAAGCCTGCTAAACGACCCCAGTATTCGTGGGATCATTACTGGTTGGCAATACTTTTTCATCCGCGCCACAAGTGTAAGGTTGCAGAGCTCATCCTGATCTCACAGAGGGAGCACAGGATGAAACAACTGGAGGACGCTCTGAAGAGAAACCTGTGTAACACCATTCCAGACACTGGCAATTTTTTCAGTCGTCAGCGCCCGGGGATGTTAACTTTAGGCACCCATTGCCAGCGTCTTCATCATATAGTGCAGGATTACCTAGGGGTAAGAGCAGACCTGGATAGCTTTCCAGCAGACGGTCCACTGGCTTACTGGGTCTTGAGAATGGATCACTGGCCAGAACTTAGCCAATATGCCATGGAGCTACTGGGTTCCCCTGCATCCAGCGTGCTTTCCGAACGGACATTCAGTGCTGCTGGAGGTTTTGTGACAGACAAAAGAGTGCATCTGTCCACAGACTCCTTTGACCGGCTGCCATGTATAAAAATGAATCACTCCTGGATCAGCAGCAGCTATCAATCCCCTGGTGCTGATGCCACCAAATAGATCGTGGATCTAAGGATTCGGAAGACTTTGCGGGCGATTATTACGCCGTCTTAAAGTAATGTTCTCGGTGTCGTGCACCACCAACGACCAAGACACAATTTTTCCACACCCGCATGTGGCATATTATTTGAGTTCTGCACTCTTCCAGAATAACTCTGAAGGGTTACGGTGTGAAGGCACTTGCCGACACTAAAGGCCCAATATTTGAGTGCACTGACCTGTGTGCCGAATGCATATCATTTGAATATTTGACCACAGGGTCCAATCCTGCACTCTTCCAGAATAACTCTGAAGGGTTACAGTGTGAAGGCACTTGCCGTCACTAAGGCCCCATTCACACACGAATCGGCCTGCACATACAGCTCCGTACTGCGTGTTGGGCCGTACCAAGCAGCTGCCGGGAAGGACAGGTGCTCCGTGTGATTAGTACGCAGCCCCCGTCCTTCTCTATGGTGCTACGCAGCCGTACGCCCCCCTACGCTGGCCGGGTGAGTGTATTCATACACCGCCGGAATTTATTCTGTATGCGTCCCGGCCAGAAAACCCACACCCCTACGGACCTCCAGTTGAGGTGAGCGTAGGGGGGCGTACGGCCGCGTAGCCCCATAGAGAAGTACTAATCACACGCAGCACCTGTCCTTCCCGGCAGCTACTTGGTACGGCCCCGCACGCAGCACGGAGCTGTACGTGCCGGCCGATTCGTGTGTGAATGGGGCCTAAGTGACTCTAAAAAGACAAAAAATTGTACAAAGTCTTTCAGAGGGACGCAGCGCTCAGATATTGGGGCGCGATCAAAGAACCCTCAAACGTTTCGATGCAAATGGTCACCAGGGTGGCAAGAAACGTGATGAGAAAGAAAGACGCCAAAGATTTGAGAAGAATGAAACGTGAAGCTCCCAGGAAGCCGTCACCCCCCAGTGCCGTCACCTACCTGGAGGGCCCAGAGACACGGCCGAGGTGAGGAAACCCGAACACCACGGAACCAACGTCAGGACCGGGCCAGGAAATATCTGAAGACGGATCTTACAAAGGTTTCATGGACGGAGGAGGAGATGAGGGAGTCTGGACGGAGCAGATGGACGGGCCCCGTGGTGGCTGGATCAGTAACGGGCACAGAGCGCCACTTCCACTCAGACGCCAGCAAGGTGGAGGGGGGGGGT